TCTTCTCCATTTGAATCTTCTCCCCTTTCCAACCTTTCCTACGGTTGTATTTCAGTTATATGTGTACATACATCCAAAGTTACCCATGCCGCCATGGGCGCCTTTTTCCCTTTCTTTTATCCATACCCTTATTTTTTCCTCCTTCCATTATTAATACCTTTTTCATACCTTACGATTCCCCTTAGCGTTCATTTCCCTCCCCTTCATTTCCTTTCATCAAATTATTAATCCATTTTGGGGTTTTTGAACATTCGCTTTTTGGTTTCTTGATCTACTTATTCTCCGTTCCACTGTTGGCTCACGGATACATACCCCTCGTCTTTTGCCGCTTTGGTTCATGCTACCAAATAATTCAACGAGGTCGGTTGATGCAGCTTTGCTTTCTTTTTTCTTTTCTTTTCTTTCCTTTCATTTTGTTTTGATTGTCACCTTTGGGCGGGAGTTCTCTTGGTTTTATGTTACTGATGAAATCTCTTAATGAAAGGACTCGGATAGCTTTGATGATTTGATTTGATTTACCCTATTACCATTCGTATACTCGTAAGAAAATAAAAATTTGACTATTTGGAGAGTTTTTTGATCTACAGAAGTAATAGTATTTCTAATAGTTCTTCGATAACCAGTGCTAATCACGGAGACAAATTTGCCACTTGTTTCACTTTTATTTGACAGGCTTGTATATATTTTTTTCTTGCTAAGTATGTAATTCAAACGAATCTAAACCATACATGGACAATTATAGATTAGATAGGATAGTACACATCAGACAAGAACCAAGGTATGAATGTCTAGAGTGTGGGTCAACATGCTTCTGTTACGATAGTATTTCGGCCTTCCCATTTCTAATTTACTCTAACAATAGCAATCAACTAACACCAACCCATCCATGCATCGACCCATGCAACAACTAATTCTGCTTCCTCTCCCCAGTGCCCCTCTTTCTCTCTAACGCAATCAACTTCTCCATCTCCCCACCCCACTTCTCCGCAAACACCTCACCCGCAAACCTCCTAGCCGAATCTCTCGCCCGCATCCTCATCGCCACCTTCTCTTCATCAGGAAGCGCCAGCGCCGCCTCAAACGCTGCCGCAAACTCTGTCTCCGTCGTAGCACGGAAGCCCGTCCCGCCCTCGCCTAGATCAACCACAATATCCTGCTTGGGTCCGCCGGAGTTGTGCACGACGCTAATCAGACCTGCCGCCTGGTACTCGACCACGCCGATGCCAAAGTGCTCGTTCCACATGGCGTTGGCGCCGATGGAGGCGCGGCGCAGATGATCGAGGATCGTTGGCCAGGTGGCGTCACAGATGAAGGTGGTTGTGTTGCGGATTTTGAGTTCGTGGGCGAGCAGGCGGAGATTATAGATGTGAGTTTCGTCGGGGCTGGAGTGGCGGACGGAGCCAATGAAGATGAGTTGGGGAGATTTTGTGGTGGCTGTGGTGATAGAGGAGGAGGATGTGGAAGGGGAGGACTGTGTGTTCTTGAATTCCTTGAGGAAACGCGCAAAGGCGCGAAGGATTAGAGAGTGGTTCTTCTCAGGGCGGAATTGGGCAATGTAGAGGATTATTGGTTCGCGTGCTTCTCGCTCGTGGGTAAGGTCTATTTCGATTGATTCTAGCTCTGACACCGCTACAGGGGGGAATACGACAGTGGGTTCCTTATATTCTCGCCGTTTTTTCCGCGAGGGGAGCCAGAGGGAGCTGATGTGTGCGGAGGTCCAGGATGAGTTGCACATTACTACATCAATAGTGCCACCAACCCAGCCGTAGAGTTTTGCGAATGCATGCCAATATCGTCGCTTGGCGTATCCTTTCCAGCCGGTCCCCGCACCTGCATTTAAACCTTTTGTACCTGAAGTATCGTCAAGAGAGTCAAGCATATCTGTCGATATTGTAGGGTAGTGGACATATGCTGCCGTCGGAATCGAAGGGAAAAGTAAGTGGCAGAGCGCAAGGACGAATGAATATCCCATAGTGTCAATGAGAATATCCGGAATTAGGAGATGGAAGGCGTCGTATCCAAGGATCAATGATCCCACGGACTGTCCAAGGAGAGTAAACCGTGGATACAAGTTGCTGAGGACATATCTGCGGGTTGATAGATATAGGAGTATCACCGTTGGAGGGTAGAGGCGGATATTGAAACGGCTCTATGTTTTACCAATTAGCTAAAGATCATATGGGCACTTAAAAGCTCTACACACTTCGATCTTGTCAAGCATGGTGGTTTTATCCACGTCAATATCACCGGTATATATTGCGCATATAGCTTTTGGCCAGCGTTGCTGCGTGGCTCTTACTGCTGCCCAAAGAACACGCTCGCCTCCGCCACCGGCATTGCTGCGAAACATCGAATCAGTCCATTTGTATTAGGAATGACGACAAATCAGTTTGTCTCCTTACCAGAATGGATGAAGGAATCCTATGATGCCCTCCCAATCTTCACCCGCAGCGTCCCCATTTGTGGCAGTCCCAATGCCAGCAGTCTCGACCTTTTCCCAGTCATCGTCTTCGTGTTTCAGAGAGATGGACCTTTTTGACTGAAACTCCTCCTCATCAAACCTTACCCGAGAACGGATTAGTTCCCGCTTCCACTGGTATTTCTTTGAAAACAGCCACCCTAACAACCTGAAAACAGAGCGGAAGACAAATGCTGCCAACCGCGGAGCAATCAGGAAGAGTGTCAGGAGCGTCACAACCGTGGCCACATAGGAGGCGGACGACAGCAGCATTATGGCATGTAGTCGACGGCGGACTGTAGCAATAGATATTGGCAGCTCATAGCTGAGAAACGGGTGGCTCTATCTGGGGAGAGAAAAGGAATAAAGAAGAGCAGAGGGGCAAGAAAGGAGTGACGTTGAAGTTTGAGGCTGGGTAAAGTTGACAGCTTCCGAGGATAAATAAGAAGATATGTCACGTGCTAGTCTTGCTTTCGGCGAGGCGACTTTTCATTTTGTTCGCCGGCTTCAACATATTCAATTCACACTCACTCTTTGTTTTCTTTCGGGCTTTCGTATTCTTTTTATTTGCTACTATTGCCCGTTGAGTGGTCTATGGAGATGCTAAATAGTACGTCGCCCGAGTTGTGAATAGCGTGATGTCCCCCGGGTATGGTTTATCTCTATATGCTTTACAGACCAGCAGCCGCGGTCTGAGTGCGAACCTCTCTCGGATATCATGCCCGGTGAAGCAATGCCCAGCGAGACAGCATTCAATTGCTTATCAGAGGTGCAATTTCCACCCGTCGCGACCTACTACCCAGATAGTCTCCACATCGATTGAGTGTGCCCACGATCTTTTACAATTAGTCCATACCTACAGCGGTCTCCCATGGGTTGCATCAATACCGCTCACGGCAGTGGTTGCGCGGATAACATTCGGTTTGCCCTTCCATATGTGGTCAATGTCACAACGAAACAAAAAAATACTTCAAAACCCGGCCATCATTGCATATAACCGTATGAAGAGGAAGAGCATCTTGGATGAATGCTACAGGAACAAATTGTTTCTGCCACCGCGAGTTGTGAGCCGAGAAAGTGCGAAGGCAGTAAAGCAGTTCCAAAAGGCTTTGTATAGACGGCATGAACTCCGCTTTGCTTCGTTCACCCCGTTCGCCCCGCTATTACAACTCCCGTTTTGGCTCGCTTTTATGGAAAGTATCCGATCAATGTCAGGTTGGCAACCGGGTCTTCTAGTCATTCTTCAACAGTGGATTAGTCCAGATGCCGCCAAAGCCCAAGTGCCCGTGGAGCCCTCTCTCTCTACTGAAGGAGCATTCTGGTTCCCTGATCTCGTGGCTTCAGACCCTCTATACGTGCTTCCGTTCGCTATTTCAGCCCTTATGTTCACCCATATTACCTGGGGTTCCAAAATTTGCAAGGCAAAGGAACTTCCGATACTGGCATCACAAGGCAATTTGCAGGGGATATTTTCGTGGGCTATCCAGCGCATTTTCCAAGCAATGTCCATTTGGATTGCACCAGCTTTGATGTATTCAGAAGCCCCCTCGGCTCTGGGCATATATTGGTTAACCACAACCTCCGTTGCAATTATCCAGAGCCGGCTTTTGAAAAAGTTCATGCCCTTCCCGACTGTACCAAAGCCTTGTGAGAGGAAAGATATTGAGAGGTTTATCTATGTAGAGAAAGTTTCCCAAGTACCAAAGCAGGTTGATCGGTAGGGGGCGAAAATACGGTTTGTGGGAACTCCTGCTACTAGCACCCATCTCCTGGTCAACATCCGGAAATGAGATACCCTAGTGGGAAATGGAGCACGATGTCAAAGCACCGGGCATAGAATCCCTGGGGTCAACAGGGTGGGTTCCAGAACCTATTTGCTTTTTTCTTGTTTCGGCTGCGCTTGGAAGATAAGATCTTCCCTGCTGCGTGTGTTCAACCCGATCATTATGTTGCTCAGCAGGTATATTCTTCGAATAGGCAAGCCTTAGACACTAGCATCTCCAATTTATTGTGATCCTCTTTCTTTCATTGGCTTGCAGTACATGCGACTGTTTGGTTAGAGCGGGAGAAAAACACATCCATCCAACTACCTGGGTATTTATATAAGGGATTAACGTAATGTTCTTTTACTACACTATCTCCCACCTGCCATAATTATGTTACTGATCCAGAAACCGAGGAAAGAATGTTCTTGTGGAGAGAAAGACGACTAAAGCTATCATATAGCTGACAACTCTGCCCTGAACGAAGATGGAGGGACGGGAGGGACCAGACCATACGAAGAGCTAACCAAGACCGCCCAAAAAATGAGTCATTGTTAAGATAAATCGAGAAGGTTCGCGGGTGTAACGATTTAATAGGGAGAACAGAGAAGATGAAATAACACCCAGAAGACTTGAAATCCGTCTATCCGTAACGCCTTAACCTAGCTAGCTAACAGAAAACGGCAAAATCTACTGAGTCCTTATGCAGGTAATGTGGGAAAAAAGAAACGTACCAAAACTGCCAATCGAACTCTTGGGAAATACTGGGCGTGGAAATTCTAGAGCTTGGGTCTCGCCTCAGCTGCCGTGGCGCTGGCCTCGGTGTTTAACGTCACATCACCAGTGCCGGGGCCTTCACCAAAAAAGATGACTTCGACCGTAAGATCATCTCTGGACGTGGTGGGTTAGTGCATTTATAATGGATTTTCTGTGATGAAATAGGCCAACGTACCTATATCTTCTAGAGTATGGGCTTGGAAGAGTAAGCAATGCACAGACCATATCCCGATCTTTCCCCCCTAACGCGTTGCGGATCAAATGAGTAGCTGCGTTCTTGTCCTCTACGATAAATCGCTTGCTGTTAGGGCGGATGTCCCATTGCTGTTGTCGGATAGGGAGTCGTTGGCCACTCGCTTTATCCGTCACAGCTTGCTCTACAGGTAAGTTCGACCCAGAGCGGAACCAGTTTTGCAACCACTCTTTAGCACCTCCGTCTGAGGCAAGGGAGTGTTGGTGTTCTAGCCATTGTCCCACAAGCCCGACAACTTCCTCGTTGGTGAGCATCTCCCATAAGCCGTCCGTAGCCAAGACGACAAAGTCACCGTTGCAAGGTTCAATAGCCGTAGTTGTGATAATGGGTTCAGCTGTCACATACGGCGGAGTTTTCAAAAGATGATGTGGTGTCCTTCCAAAAAAGTGGCGCTTGATTTTATCCTGCGTTTCACGTGTCCATTTGTAGAATGCGTCACCAAATGCACGACTAGGTTCAAGGTTACCTAATATTCTATCATTGCGGACAACGTTTGGTTCGTCGGGATGCTCCCGACGTAGACGTTCGACTTCTGATTTAGTTGAACCTGTTTGATCCTCTGAAAGTGGACTTGCGACCCATTTCCCGCTTGGTGACCTGCGACCAAGTACTGCTCTCGAATCTCCGGTGCAGGCAACTCGTAACAAATTAGATCTGCTGTCATAGAAGGCAAGAAGAGCACAAGATCCAGACAGTGCAGGCGCGAGAAGCTCTGCTGCAACACGCTTCGAGTTTGATTTCATAACCTTGTTGACGCTTTCATGAACAATTTCGTGATCGAGTCGGACAAAGCCATTTTTCATCGCAGCATTGACGGCTTCCGGTGATGGTAATATCTTGGATGGATCTGCTGCAGCGGCTTTATAAGTAGCATTCAATTCGCGCGCAACAAAGGATATCAAGGCCTGGCGCAATTTTGCGGACGTAGTCCATCCTCTTTATGTACAGTCAAATATCAGTAATGCGAGGTAGTAGGTATGTTATATTGTTGTAACTCACGAATGACCGTCAAATACGCCCCAGAACATCCAATCACTGCTTTCGGCACTGCCATGATCAGAAGCAGAGACTGATTGTGGCACTTCTACGATCTTCTCTGCATGGTCGTCTTCGATAGGGTCGTTACTGGGCAATTGAACAACATCATAGCGAACGACACCTCTTCCACGACCAACGAGATAAGACTCCTCATTCCGCCTGAGTTTCTGAGTCGCTTGCTCGGGGGTTAACATCTCTAGAACTTTTCTTCCAGAACAGTCTGTTTCCTTGGAGAGGGGTCGAGTGCCAACAATATTGCTAGCATAGAATTGATCATTCTCCACCAAAAGGGCACGGCGTGTAGTTATGGCAGTTTCCTCTGGAGCGAAGTTCGTTGAATCTCTTGAAGAAATTCCCCGAGATTGAATCCCCGTGGGTGATACAAGACTGGTGCTCGAGCTTAGAGGGTTTGTGACAGCGCCAGAGTGCTGGCCCCCTTTGTAAGCGTACCAGGCGCCGGATGCCACTAAGGTCGAAATACAAGCCAGAGAAAAGTTCCGCAGGTGCATGGAGGACTGGACCGTAGCAGGAGTAAAGGCAGTAGAGGAGATGGTCCGCAGCGCTACTGCATAGCTAGGTGTAAAAGGAGCGAGATGGTTCCGCCCGAGGTTATGAAGAGAGGGACTACGTGCCGTTTGCAACACGTGAGAGGCTGCTCGATGCATCGAAACCGTAGGACGCAGAAGCCGGGGAAAAGGGTATTGGATAGGAAGCCTATCCCCAGTACTCTTTTCAGAGAATAAATGAGAATAAAGAGGGGAGAGATGTTGGTGATAAGAGAGGGTTGACGCGCGGAGTTGGGAGGAGGTTGAATGCCAAGGCTGTAGTTAAGCCGGGAAGCTTGCCAATCATGACTAAGCCAGAGGAATTGGCTTGTAGGTGCACATTATTTCCTAGTTAGGTCTCCTCCTTGAAGGGTTGTGTTGCATATAACAGGTGCTAAGTATGCATATGATTCATACTAGGACTGTTGGAGTCCACAGATGATAGATATTTTTTATTTACATGAGGAGTTGACTGGCTGAGCTGTGCTGATAACTCATGTCTTGTCCTCATCCTTTGTCTCTCTTTGCCACCTTATTATCTCTGAATAGTTACCTGCATCTCACATTCCGCCTCCATGTCTTCCCGAGCTTTAAGAAAGCTCCAGAAACTTCAAGAACAAGAACATGCAAATGATTCACCCGATGATCTGGATGACAGTTTGCACAGCTTACATAGTTTCCAAAAACCACAACCTAAATTCAATGCGTTTGAATTGCTAGAGAGCCAGGATGCAGAAGACAAATCTGATTCAGAGACCTCAATCCCGGAGCCTATTCAGACGCCAGAAAAGCCTTCTACTCCTTCAAAACCCCTGGATACTAAGAAAAGGAAGAAAAAGAAAAAACGCGTCAAGAAAGCAGCAAGTCCTATAGAGTCCAAACCCGCTGCTGTCCCCCATGCGGAAGAGTCGGAATTGGATGAGATTGACCTCGCATTAAAAGCTTTGTCTGCCAAACAGCCATTGCGAAATGACGTCTCACCTCTGGACTCGGACCAGAATTCATGGCGCATTGAATTTGGACGTCCATCTGAGGAACCTGATGAACTTCTTGCAATCGATCCGCGACGTCTCAATGCAATCAACGAGATGAAAAAGTTATTCGGCAATGTGGTATTAGAAAGTACCAACGAAGCTTCTAGTGCAGGAGCAGGGCGAAGAAACAGAAATCAACCTCTGGATCTTGGACGGGCGCTGATGGGGCGCTATAACCCTGTGAGTCGTGGGAAGGATCTTGCGGGAGCGACGCTGCGTAAAAATGTCCTGATGCAGGCAAAGGATGAATGGCCACGGGCGACTAGCGGAGGACTTGGGATGGAGGTAGTGCGGGGCCTTCACTCTGACAGAGCGGAATATAAACTCGTTCATAACAAAGCTTACGAGGATGCTCAAAGGCAGTTTGACCTGTGTGTCGAGTCGATGGAACCGGAGAGAATGATATACCATCTGCAATACAATCGTGAGTTAAGCCCAATTCCAGCAATAATTGCTACATGTCGTGTACTTATGGTTTGAAAAGCGTACCACATCTCAAGCCTGTTACAAGTCTCCGAGATTGCCAAACATCAAGGCGACCATGCAGTCTCAGGAGATCTCCTCGAAAGAGCGTTGTTCACTATCGGCCGCTCGGTCCACTCCTCATTTGGCACTCGCTTAAAACAAGGGAAATCACGATTGAATTTTAACATTGCCGCCAACCGTGAATTTTGGCTTTCAGGCTGGAGATATATCAAGAATTTGGAGATGAAAGGTACATTGAAAACCGCGTACGAGTGGGCAAAGCTACTCCTAAGCCTGGACCCCGGAGACCCGTACGCCATCAATTTGATAATTGATTCTCTAGCTATCAGAGGACGAGAGCATGATCATTTCATCAAACTATGCTCTCATCCGTATTTTAGTAAACGTTGGGAGAACTTTCTGAATATCCAATGCTCACTTGCGCTGGCCTATCTTCTCCAAGGGAAACCCGTCGAAGGTCGTTCACAGTTGCGAAAGGCGATGTCTCATTACCCCTGGGTATTTTGCCGTTTATCTCAGGAACTCAATATCGAGCCCATACCGAAGTCCATATGGGCAGTGCAGTCTCCCAACGAAACGCACTGCTTGTTTTGTGAACTCTATATTGCGAGAGCTAAGGATATCTGGAATACCCCTGAGGCAATCTCTGTTCTCGTCGAGGTTGCAGACACTCTTACTAAATCTAAAGAGGAAGTAAAACCTCCTGAGATCACACTGGATATTGCTCGTCATGTCCTGTTGTCAGATATTCCGTCAGTCACCACGCATCTGCCTCACCACTTTTCTACGGAACGAATGTCAGCCTCAGACCCCCTGCCGCCAGGCCCGGAGATGGATTTGTCGCCAAATACGCATCCCGCGTGGGTATTTGACGACGCAAGACAGTTATTCGGGTTCCCTGGACAAGAGGCCGTTGGCGATGTCGAGAACGAGCCGGAGGTTTCTGAGGATGAAGAACCAACAGATCGACGTCAAACTGGTGGTGATGGTGATGAGGTTGAAGATCAAGCTGATGATGATTTGTCATCTCCTGAGGAATATCTTTTCAACCGTGGGCTACAAGATTTGCAAGACTTTTTACTGGTAAATGGAGTAGATCGGGGAAATTGGAATGCTGATGATGACTCAAATTCAGTAACCGTTTGGGTTAGAAGGCTACGTCGACTAGACCGGGAGGTCTGGGATTCTGTTATACGCGATGCAGCAGCCGAACTCGATTCACCTCTAGTCGCTGATTTACTCTTGGATGAGTTGCAATTGCAGGAGGAGGATGTAAATCGTTGAATCAATTTATTTTATTTTTTTACTTTTTGTTTTTACTTGTTTATCCTTGTTAGTGGTTATTTGTTGAGCTATGGGAAATAGACAGAGGACTAACTGAAATTGACGAAAGATTGTACATTCATGGAATGCAATAGTGATCACGAAACAACATTTACGCTCATGAGATATATGGATGAGAAGTCGGCCCCTCAAAAACTCAACTAACAGAAAACATGATATATGCAAAATGAAATATCTAGGTATATCTGTTCTCTCCGCAAACGGTCAACCAGAACACCCAGCAGGGGCAGGAAAATATTCATCCCAGCGATAATAAAAAGGAAATGACAAGAAAAAACATCTCGACCCATAAAACCTATTAACACCGGACCCCACACCAGATTCTAAAAAGAAACCGGGGTTTGTTTATTAATGTCATTATGCCATATATTGCATGCAAGAGAGGGCTTTTGGATACTGGACACTCAAGACGCATTTCAAAGTATGTTTCCACCGCAAATTCTCCCCCAGTTTCTGTTCTCATGTCCAATAAAGCTTGTCGTTATTCGTCGTCCACTATCTCCACGAGATTCCACTAACGGTTGAGGAGGTAAGGTCAAGCGTATTGAAATCCTCTGAAGATAGATCCATAAGTGGGCCATATTTGGGGCTGTCGCTCGCTAGTTTCTCTTCATTCTGTATGTATTCTGAGAGTCGTTTGTCCCATTTTCTACAATCATGTTTTATACCATCCACTCCCCGCCCGTCTGGTGTACAGACAGGTTCATAGAATACATAGCACTTCCCCCAACATATCAGGGATCCTGGATCGGATTTTGGACCGCGTTCTGATTTGGAACCGGGTAAGGATTGGATTTTACTGGATTCTTGATAGAATCTGCGAACTGCTTGACGGCAATCCTCTTCGCTTGCTCCTCGAGCGGAAGGGCCTCGAAATCCGCTTTATTCTTATCCCATTCTGCCACGCACTGGGCATTCCAGTTACACGTCTCAACTTCACCAAACATCGGATGCTTATATCTGCGGTGGTTGCTTGGCCATCCGGACGCATGGTAGTGATGTTTGACCAGTGCTGTTCTGGTGTTGTGATTTCCCGAGTCCGAGTGTCCTTGGCCCGCCGCAAAAGCTTCGACAGTGAGAACAAGAATGCCACCTACGACCTTCGACTCAGCCATGTTATGGAATACGTCCCAATTCACCTCGTTTCCCGTCCGATGGCTCATATCTTCAAGGATCGCATTGGTAAATGCAGAGGGCCCAGTGCCACTGATCACGTCATCGAAGTCCAATGTAAGTTGCGAAATAGGCACGCCCTGCTTTTTGGAAAGTTCGTTGAGCCAGCGGATGATGTTGTCAACCAGTTTTAACATGACAGGGAGGCGAGGTTTGCAAATGAACGTCCACTGGCAGAACGATTGCGACTTGGGTCCGAGGACAGGATGCTTCCTAAACTCCGGTTGATCGATCTCCACACCGATAACCATATCTATGTTCTTCTCATTGAACCTATCCGGAATAAATCTGTCAAACGGCCTGAGTGCCTCGACATCAATGTCCGCATACACCCCACCCTCCACATACATGATCAGATACCGCAACAGGTCAGCTTTGATGATTCTCGCTGTCAGAGAGCGGTAAACGTATATTATATCTGGGCGATTGAAACCCTTGGGCCCAAAATGCGTCTCAAGATAGTATAGATCGTTTTGGTCGGTTAGAACCTCGTATCTATGGGCCGGGTTCTTTGATGTCCAACTCCGGGCACAGCGCAGATCTCGTTCCTCAAAGTCGAGCGGATCTACTTTCCATATCTGCCATATCTTTCGCGGGAAGCCGCCTGCAAAATACATGGACGGAGAGAAGTCACCGGTGTATTGGCCTGATGATGCAACAGTCGAAAAATATATAATGAGTAGTATAAATGAGATGCAGCCGTATAATAACCTCCGGGTCAGTCTCGGTTTGGCAGCGAGCATATTTTTTCCCCCTTTAACTTCCTTTCTTTCCTTTCCTACTAACTGTTGACACTTCTCGGTCTGCTGATTTATCCCGTTTTTCCCCTTCCCTTTTTCGGTTGGAAATGGGCACAAAAAGAAAACAAATTTCATGGACGGGGAAGGGGAAAAGACCGCATTATTGAAGAATTTTTATACACATATCATTCCTTGGTTTGTCTGTCATCCAAAAACGAGAGAAAATATTTAGAAGACGAGGACAAAGGAGGGAAATGAGAGGAAAAGAGGATGGGAATATGGTTAGAGCGGAAATGCGAGTGAAAACTCCAAGCTACAACTTAATTTTAGTTATTCTTTCCGAAAGCCGAGCACAAGGAAAGAATCGATAAAATGTACGACCCGATAGTCAATTTCCCCTACTCGTTACCTTATGCCAAAGGAAGAAGAAGCTAAGATAATCGCAATCCGTTGAAAAATACGATGGTAAATTACACAGCTCTTCCAGGCCAGACCAAGCTTGATCTGGGGTTCCTTGTATGCCCGTTGTTGCTTGTTATATAAGCTTATTGTGGAGAGCATGCTTAATAGCCTAAGCTGTCTAACATGAGGCATTTGTTCAGCAGGTAATACAGGGTTTTCTTCTGTTCATTAGTTTCTCCAAAATACAGCCACCAGCGGAGACACCAGACAAGAGAGAGCAGGTAGAACCCACCGAGGATGATCACGTATGAGAATGAAGGCAGTGTGCATGTCTCAAACATTGCCTCCTTGTGAGAGACACCGTCGTTGCAACTTCGACCTGCTTTCTTGCATGTGAAATACTTTGGAAATTAAGAGGCAATATCTTTGAGCGTGGCTCATAGTCGCATCTTCAGAGGCTTAACTCCGCTATGAATATTCAAGCTGGATCGAACATCGCAATCATAACAATAACTCGGCATCTTCACGGGCATGTCCAACTGTTGTCCACACGACCAAACCAAAAAATGGACTTTTCGACATCTTGGGAGGCGGACCGAGTCTTGCTGATGCTCCACGAAATACTCTGTCTGAACCACTCGAATGTGCGGCTCCATATCTCAGTTACCCCTCCTCCAAGATCCCACCCCAGAATGTTCGGCCTTGGCATAGTTAATGTTGCCGCCGCTGCGTTCTCAGTGAAAGTCTGACAGGCTTTTCTCTCTAGTCTCTTCCGGCGAAACCATCCCGCTTAATTATTATATCCAGTTGGCAAATGGGTGTTTCTGGGACGGTTGAATCACGTTTTACGACATTATTATTAACGACGTCATTTTCATCTTCGAGGAGGCCTGTGAAATGGCATTATTGTTGGTCGAATTTCCAGATGTGGTATGGAGTTTGTCTGTATGATAATTACAGAGCAATAAGAAAATGGCTCAGCCCATTGTACCACAGTTTCCAGGCTAAGCTGGGGAGAGAGGAGAAGCTCCCATTCTCTTGCGTCCCTGCGCTGTGATCCATAAGCAGTCCCCCTCTTTCACCCCGGATCCTTGATGGACTTTGCTTTGCCGAACCCCCCAGCTCCACCTTCACACCCAGCACAGCTTAAATTTTGATTTTAGATTTCTTCATTGTCCGAAAACCCCCCCAAGAAATAACTCCTCCGGAACAGTCTGGAATCAGCCTTCCTAATGTCTGGTTCCCAATATTTTTGGATAATTCTCATTCATTTCTCCCCATATCCATTAATTTTTGATGCGAATCATCATACCCACAAATAGAAGCTGAATAAACAGAGGTCCGCTGCCGGATTGAGGTGTTAAAAAAAATAGAAAAAGGGTCACACAACTAGTCCCCGCCTTTTGCGCCCGTTTACTTCCCAATTTCCATCCAGATGATGTCTCCTGGTGGTGGGCAAGAGGGCATCTTGGGAAATGGGAACTGGGAGGAAATAACACCTGAATGGCGGCCCATCAACGTTCAAGCATCGGATACCACAAAGGAGTGGGCAAAACTCGTTCAGCCAGCCGGATTATGGAAGTCTGCTACATCGCGCAGAATTGGGAATGGAGGTGGAGGAGGAGGACCAGGTGGGCGCCGCACGGCATATCTCGACGGCATAAGAGGTTTCGCTGCCTTCCTAGTATACTGCGGACACCACCAGCTGTGGACGCACGAGATGATGTCAGCCGAGGAGATATTCGAGAATGCGTTTGGTTATAAAGGACATTTTTATTTTGCTTTGTTGCCTGGCATCCGAGTGTTCTTCTCTGGTGGCCATTTCGCTGTCAGCGTGTTTTTCGTGTTGTCTGGATATGTGTTGGCTGCGAAACCGTTGAGTCTGATGGTTGATGGCGACTATGTGAAATTAGGGGAAAATATAGCCTCTTCGTTGTTTCGACGCTGGTTGCGGCTGTTTCTACCCGTCATCGCCACAACGTTTCTATACATGACTTCGTGGCATGTGTTGGGTATCCGAACGGAGCGGGAGCCGTGCATGACTTACCGCGAGGAGCTGTGGAATTGGTTTTCCGAGTTCAAGAACTTTAGCCACATTTTCAGAACTGGTAGTGACCCTTGGTTTTCGTACAACTTCCACGTGTGGTCGATCCCCGTCGAATTCAAGGGCTCGATGCTCATTTACACCTCGTTACAGGCATTTTCGAGATGTACGAGGAATGCGCGGTTATGGTGTGAAGTAGGACTGATTTTCTACTTCATGTACATCACAGATGGAGCGCATTTTTCGCTGTTCATGGCCGGAATGCTTCTGTGTGACCTCGATCTGCTCGCCCGCAACAACAACCTACCACGTTTCATTGCAAATATGGAGCCACATAAACGAACACTTGCCTACATAGCTCTAGGCATCAGTGTCTACCTAGGCGGAGTCCCCTCACAAAATGCCGACATCCAAGTCCTTAGGTCGTCCCCAGGGTGGTACATGCTATCCTTTTTCAAACCCCAGGCCGTCTTCGACTACAAATGGTTCTTCCTGTTTTGGGCCGCAACGTTAATCGTCGCGTCAATCCCACGCATACCAGCATTGAAATCCTTTTTCGAGACGCCCTTCAATCAGTATCTCGGTCGCATATCGTTCTCTTTCTACCTGGTGCACGGACCAATCCTTTGGACGCTTGGTGACCGAATATACGCCGCAACCGGTTGGTTGAGAGAATCTCATGCCGTCAATTTACCGGGATGGATTAACCGATTCCCACTGCCAAAAGTCGGTCCACTTGGCCTGGAATTGGCATGTCTCCTCCCCCAGTTGATTCTTCTGCCGCTTACACTGTGGCTGGCAGAAATCACAACAAGACTCATAGACGAGCCCAGCGTGAAATTGGCCCAGTGGGCATACGCTAAAACTCAACCCTCATCATCACAGCAATCGTGACCTGCCAATGTAAAATTATGAAACTGCATCGAATTTAGCGTCTTCGTCTTTCGGTTTTTATTATTAGGGCTGTTTTCTGGAAAAGTTACTTGCTTTAGCATGGAATGGGGACATACTTTTTCTAGTTTTCTTTGTGCACTCCTCAAATAAAAAAGTAATTACACAGTAACTAGCTTACTAAAATTAATCAACAATAAAGAATTGAGTTTTGGGAGATGGAGAAACTGCAATTTAGCGATTCTTGCGGGTTCACAGACTTTTTGATTCAAGAACTGTACCCCACCTTTGGTTCGCTGAAGCTCTTCAAAGGTTGAAAGTATCCTCTTTGGCGGAGCAGAAACGCGGTCAGGTCGGTTTGCTGTTGACCGAGGTAGTAGCAGCAACAAGCACTTGTGGGGTACACATGCATCCAAAAAAGGATCTTCTGGGACCTGCCACTGGCTGCCAGGCACAGGTTACCGCTAGGTTTGTTCTTCGTGACCTGGTCGTTCCGTGCATCCATCTCGGGGTATCCCTGCTAACTTGCAGGAACCGCACATGTTACCGTAAGTGATTCAACCGGGACAGGGCGGGCGAACAAAATACGGCCATGGATTGGAGGCAAATAAGTAGTGTCACAATCACTTGGGGCAAAAATGTTGCGGGTATAATGTGATTTGTACATTGACATCACAAAGGGAGAACAGCGGGCAGCTCATCATGTATTTTTTGACTTCCTCACCTCTGCCCCAGAGAAATGAAATGAGACAACCTTGATCGGGCTGGGCCATCTGCAGTTGAGCCTTGTTGTTGTTGCAACCGGGATGACAACAGTGGTGACACATGAAACAGTGCACGATGGTATTGCAGTACTTTAACAGGAAATAATGGTATGGCCGTTGCTATCAGTGTAACTAACCAACTATTAACTAGTTAACTATCGGGGTATTATTAGGTAAGATACAGCTGTCCAACCAGCCGTTAATGCGAATAGATTAGATGAAGTCCATGATGGCCATTGACGCGATTCGGATTCATCCCAAGCTCAAAGGAAATAAATAAAAAGAAAAATGATTAAAAGCACAAGCTTTGAACGTGGAGGCCCATCCCAATGCTTCCAGAGACACGTGCAGCGTCGGATCTAGGGTTATAAAGCTCGCTATGGCCTCCCTCTCTAAAGCTGCCCTTGAGGCTGTCATTGGAGACAGACGGAAGGTCTTTTCACATTCAATTGGTTCTAAATCAGGCAAACAGATCGAGAAAGAAATTAAAATTATCTCTATGGAGGTACCTACGTAGTGTTTCCATGTTGTTTTCCCTTCACCGTCATCGAATTTAACTGAGCATCAACCAACCGACCATGAAAAAGTTTTCAGTGTTGGGGTCTTCTTCTAGAAACCTTATCGGCACGTCATCGCCAATCACATTGGTTACGCAGGTTTTGTATTCTTTTCCTCACAGTTCTTATTATTCTCGCCATCTTTTTGAACTGTTGCCCCTCCCCCTCCTACTGAACCAACGGCCAGATATTTTGCTATTTTACCTCACGTAGTCCGCACACTGGTTGGATCAGTGCAACTAACTATCCAATTAAGGTCTTAATGTGCATTAACTTTAACCTCACCAAGTCTCGCCCCCCTCGATGACACAATCGGCCTTCTCACTTCTTTACATTGTTGAATGGATGGTATCAACACTGCCGCCATGTTTATACTTGCTGATAGTGTCCCGCTGACAGCCCGTGAAGTGGCCTCTGGGGTGCTGGGCTCAATTTGTCTGGCCTGCTGGATCTTCCTACTGGTATGTAAAAACTGGAACCCCTATCAACACTTTTATATTACCCCCATAAAACGGCATCCAGCTTCAATTAGGAGAGCAAGAAACAGAAAGAGTATAGATAAATAAAACCAACACTGTTAACAACCAGGTTCCCCAACTGATCGAAAACTACAAAAACGGCTCCGCAGACGCCGTCTCCCTCGCCTTCCTCTTTGTCTGGTTCATCGGGGACATCACAAACCTAATCGGATCCCTCTGGGCACAACTCGTCCCAGTCATTACAGCCATCGCCGTCTACTTCTGTCTGGCAGACGGTGTCCTCATAAGCCAATGCATCTACTACGACCACCAAAACGCGCGCAGGGATGCTGCTGCCGCCGCCCATGAACGCAGCGGTCCCGATTATCGCACGCTATCCAGCGCAACAGCGGGCTCAGTATCAGAAGCGGAGTCCGATGCGCTGGACCCCACCACCCCGCTCCTGTCGCGCCGCATGAGTCAGAATCTGGCCGCTTCAGCTTTGGTTGCTGTGGCGTCGAGGAGGAGGAGATCGACGGAGTCCATGCGGAGACGGCGCTCGAGCCACTTACAGGATTCGTTGACCAAGATTCTTGAGGAGACGGAGCCCAGGAATGTGTGGGTGAAGAACTCTTTGAGTGTTATTGGTATCTGTGCTGCTGGGGCGGCTGGATGGTTGATTGCCTGGCAGTCTGGTGTATGGCATCCGACATCTGACGAACATTCGGGACAAATGGTGCTTGGGGCACAGGTGATGGGGTATGTGAGTGCGGTTTGTTATCTTGGGTAAGTCGTTTTATGGGAGAAGAACCTCTTAATTCATCGTAGAGTCATTTGTTTTCTTAATTATTTGTTTAAAGTATTGCTAACGGGACCTGAAATGAATGAACAGTGCGAGGATACCTCAGATCATCAAGAATTACCGGGAGAAATCATGCGAAGGTATGTTCAGAACATTTACACTGCGTTACCAATATCTCTATCTATCGCTTGTGTTGAGCAGACAAAGCTGACCGCTATCGCAAAAGGCCTTTCTCTACTGTTCTTCATATTATCTCTCGTGGGAAATTTATCATATGGCGCAGGGGTAAGTTTTTAGTCATTCCAATTCCCGACTCACCACCGTGACGAAGATTATAAACTAACCAAGTATTATTTTGCCCCTGTTTTCAGATATTATTTCACTCCAACGAAAAACGTTACCTTCTTAAAAATCTTCCATGGCTCATCGGGTCCCTCGGGACCATGTTTGAAGATGTCTTGATTTTTGTACAGTTCCGGATATATTCAGTGCAGGATAACGCTTCTTCAGCTATAATATGAATATCCCGTTGTATTCCTTGTCTTCTTTTTGTATTATCTCCTATATTATTACCATGGAGGCGTATTTTTATCGATTCAACAAAAGTTACCGGCAGTGCGGGACATTGGGAGAAAAGATTCGTTTCACTTTTTTTTCTCTTATATGTATTGACCAAGATGAGTATCATGGCGATGACCACATGACATGAAAATCTACCTTGAAGGTATATCATATTGATATAATGAAAGGGAAAAAACAAAAGAAAATCAAAAGAAAATCAACCATTGCTACCCGATTATCATCCGGTCCAGCCCTCATTGAAATTAAATCCTCTTAATGAACTTAGTATGGGGGAGGGTGTGCTCGCAAAAGCACCGCAGCGGTGCATCCCTTTCTTTCCTTGTTTTTCTCTCATTTATCACAATATGAGTACACGCCAAAAGCGGTCGGGGAAAGGGTGGAAGGAACCAATACGCCAAGAAAAAGAAGATTCGTTTAGTCGAAAAGACCGAAGCCCATGTCCTCGTCGGACTCCTCCTTCTCTGCAAAAATTGGAAAAAGAATATATTAGCCAAATCTGCACTCCGGTAGCACGGTAGCATAAGAAGAGCTCATTGGCAATGACCTACCTTCTTCCTTCTCTTCAACCTTCTCCTCCGCAGCCGCGGCGCCGCCAGCAGCAGCTGGGGCGTTTCCAGCGGCAGCGGGAGCGGCACCACCGCCCGATCCAACGTTGAGCAGAATATCCTTCACATCCTTGCCTTGCAGAGCCTTTTCAACGAAAAGTTTCACCAAGTTAGCTTTAGTTTTGTTCTCCAACACATTCCTTTAATTTCCACCCGATTAAATAGAATACTGCAAAGAGAAATCGGGATTTTGCACCATCGGACATATCGTGTAAATTGGGGTAGTATGGTATGTACCTTGGCGAACAGAGAGGACCAGATGGGCTCAACATCCTCCACATTCGCGGCTTTCAGAATGGATTGGAGCTTCTCGGACTATATATGCCAACCCAAAAAGCAAAACCGAGTCAGCACGCGTTATATTGTTTTCAAGATAACTCATCCTCCACATTTCATCCAAAATGAGTTTTCCCCTCTTCCTCTCTCATCCCCCCCTCCTCCCCCATATATTCCATATCTATATCCGGATAAAAACACGTACCGTGATGTCAACGCCGTCATCGGCCAGGATCAGGGAGGCATAGGAAACAGCGAGCTCGGAGTTAGACATTGTGAGAGGATGTCCCGGAGCAGACGGATACTGTGTTGGAGGGAGAATGTGAAGTTGAAGGGAATTGATTCCTTGTCGTTGGCGTCGATGTCGTTGTCGTTTGACCTAACGGTTGTGTGGAAAATAAACCCTCGCTTAACATGGCTGATATGGCCCGTGCACTCGGTGACATCACGTGATTTCCCTCGGCCCAATCAGGAAGGTAGACATAAGTTATGCCCAACGTTAGAAGGTAATGATAACATATGCATATTGTCCATACAACGATAAACATCAACATAACGTCAAGGTTACTATTTTACTTACCACTATTCTCTGTCTTTCATTTTTGCTATACGGACCCAATTACTCGCGCGGGAGCGGGAGTTTGTGCCAACTCTGGAATACCCTATTAAACCAATTGGCAGATATGGCTGATTCGCCCGCCGTATCAGTCCCTCTCGACCCGAGAGAACAGCCTATCTTAGACCAGCTCTTGGTGATTCGCGACGCCCTCTTGCTCCTTAAACAGGATAAATCGAGATATATCAAGTCTCAAGACGTGCTGTACTATCATGACCAGGTGGTTGAACAAGTCCAGAAGTTGAACAGCATCCGTTCGGACAACCAACTACAACATAATCGAGGTTCGCCCCATCCCCATATTCCAACTTTTGGCCCTTGCACAGGTGCAGTTTGTCTGATATGTGCTCATGTCGCAGTTGATAATGTCCTGGATGATTGCTTCCAGCTGATTTCTTTGCTATTTCTTACTGTCGGGAGGAATAATGAGGCGCCCGCAGCGTAAGTATCACTTTTTATACGTGGGCTTCTATTCGGTATTGTACGTTGCATTGCATCCAGACGAATGCTGATATATTTTATCAAACCCACAGATATGCAATGGCGTCGACAATTAAGGTAATACCAAGTCGACGACTTTCGATAATACATTCTCATGATTTTCGTCATTATCTAACTAATATTGTTCCTCCAGCGCCTGCTCGACCATCTAAAGGAGGCTGCATTTTTCAGCCAGAAGGATTTGGATTCGATCTCTAAAACTCTAGATACAATGCAAGGAAACATTGATCGAGGGAAGGATACATATTCAACTGATCTATTGAAGCTTTTGGGAGTTCGTTTGGAAACCTGTCGAAAACTGTTAGGGGAGCTACAACAAGACCTTTCCTTCTTGTCGCCCGAACTCGTCCCGATCCACGAGGTTTTGGTATCCATTTTACGATCCACATCTGCCGCAAACACGCGATCAAAGGTAGCTCTTTTTCCATGTCTGTCAGACGTATTAAAAGTGCGGAGGGTTAAGCTGATTTTGGATGGCCGTGAAATATAATAGTTTTCGTATTCTGAGGTCTTGACCTTCCAGGAGCAACTGAAGGGAATGAAAGCCTCTATGAAAGATGGTAACTTTTTGGGCCCTGGTGGCTCCATCCCTGCGGGCCAAGGGATTGTTAAAGTTTTGTTGGAAAGATGTCTGAAATGGGTAGAAATTGTTCTCGAAAGGTATGATAATAGCGGCGCTCAAACATGCCTTGCGGCATGGAATCAGATTTAACCGAATTACCTTTACTAGACAGGGACGAATCGACGAACGATTCAAGGAGCCTTATGATAAGCTCCTGGAGATCCGAAACCAGCTCGACCGCCTTGCTATGACCCAGGCCTGGTCACTACGGGAGACCGATTTATTTATGTACCAAAGAAAATTAAATATGTTTGACGAATCTCGAGTTGATGGGAACTTTCTTGACAAGGATGGGAAGCCGGCTGATATTCATGCTCAAAGGGTAGGCCTCCAACCGCAACCTACTGACAAACTTTGGGAGCTGAGGAAATTTGACCGCTGATTTTCTCGCTACATAGACGCTTTTGTATCTGATTCGGCGGAGCTATGCGTTAATATACGGCTTGCTTATTTCGTCTGAGCCTGTTTCAGAAGCTCTCTTACCAATTTATAATCAACTTCAAACTCTGAGGAAATGCCTTCTTGAAGTTAAGGACTCAGGGGGGGTTTCTAATTCTAGAGAGCTTTACCCATACAGTATGAAGGTTAGTTGCTCTCCCTTCCTATTTATGGAAATTGATGGGTGGTATTTGTCCAAGTTGCTAACTATTTGCCAGCTAAACTCCATCGACAACATGAGAATCGATGGAAAATTCTATGTGGGAAATGATCTACCTGAAGGTCAAGGTAGCGTCAACGAACTTCTTGCACAATGCTATGATCTCTGCTATGAATTGAGAGCCCAATCGGAAGAAATTGCCGAAAGCTAATGAGATGAAAAAGCATTAAACGTTGAAACCGGGTTTGATATTTAAAAGGTTCCTTTTTGGGGGTCATATTTCGTCCCATTTTGTTTCATTATAGCATTTCCTTTTGTTTCCTCTTGGAAAGGATCCATCCATCTGCTCTGGCGGTTTATTCCACGTCATGGGAGCTACCCAGGTTTCTGTTCCTTCAATATGGTTCTTTCGCATTCAGTCATTTAATGTACAATGGAATTGTATCATAATCCATTCCTGGTATTTAATAGTCAATCATATCTGATCGTCTTATAATGCATGGGCATCTTCGATTCCTCTGTGGAGCACTTTTTAAGTTATGTATCTCTCGATAAAATTTCTGTGACAGGGACCTTGGGCCGAAACCGGGGTTAGTCAGCTTGCTCAATTACCATCCAGCCAATCAACGTGAACTTAAACCCTTCACTCGCTCGTTCCTTGGTGCAGTATTATAAACTCCGGAATCCCCGTCCTCAAGGAAGAAACAATTACATTTCCTGCCAAAAATTGTTGCGGATATCTCCAAGATGATGCGGCAGTATTTCTGCCGCAGGGCATCTATTTCGCACAAGGTCAGTTCTCATGCCGAAAATCCAGGGCCCTCTGTATTTTAAACTGACATCCTTCATAATCCAGCTTGCACAATGCTGGCCATTAAGAGCTCGCGGCCTCGCGACACAGGCCCAGCCTTATGCTCCGTCACGCTCCCCACCATATCCCAAAATTCTAAACAATTTCCGTGAGGTACGACGGGTTCTGGGAACTGAGCGATCTCTCACTCTGGCCGAAAAGATCCTCTATTCGCATCTCGATAATGTTGAAGAGTCTCTTCTCTCCGACACCCTGAATGGCAAAAACATCCGTGGCCAAGCCAATCTGAAGCTGAAACCAGATCGCGTTGCAATGCAGGACGCTTCGGCGCAAATGGCTCTGCTGCAGTTTATGTCCTGCGGACTCCCCTCGACTGCTGTCCCGGCTAGTATCCACTGTGACCACATGATTGTCGGTGAGAAGGGAGCTGATGTCGATCTCCCCTCATCAATCCAGGGGAATAAAGAAGTATTTGATTTCTTGGAATCTGCTGCGAAAAAATATGGCATTGAATTTTGGCCGCCTGGTGCGGGGATTATTCATCAGACTGTTTTGGAGAACTATGCCGCTCCTGGCCTGATGATGTTGGGTACGGACAGTCATACGCCGAATGGGGGTGGATTGGGCACCATTGCCATTGGAGTTGGTGGCGCGGATGCTGTTGATGCGCTGGTTGATGCGCCTTGGGAACTGAAGGCGCCAAAGGTGCTTGGTGTTAGGCTCGAGGGCAAGCTGTCTGGTTGGACCGCGCCGAAAGATATTATTTTGCATCTTGCTGGGAAGTTGACGGTTCGTGGTGGCACTGGGTTCATTATTGAGTACCACGGTCCTGGTGTTGAGACGTTAAGTTGCACTGGAATGGCCACCATTTGCAACATGGGTGCTGAAGTTGGAGCAACCACTTCGCTTTTCCCCTTTTCACCAAGCATGGTGCCATATCTACGGGCTACTAATCGAGGTGATATCGCTGAAGCTGCAACGGCTATTGCATCGTCTGGTCCTCAGAACTTGCTACGCGCAGATACTGGCGCGGAATATGATCAGCATATTACCATTAATCTCTCTACCCTCGAGCCACACATTAATGGCCCGTTTACTCCCGATCATTCCATACCTCTTTCCTCATTTGCACAAACAGTTAGGGAGAACAAATGGCCTGAAACTTTTGGTGCCGGTCTTATTGGGAGCTGCACAAACAGCTCCTATGAGGACATGACTCGTGCAGAGGATCTTGTCAAGCAGGCCTCCGAAGCCGGTCTGAAACCGAAAGCGGATTTTTTTATCACTCCAGGAAGTGAGCAGATTAGAGCTACCTTGGAACGCGACCAGACGCTGAACACTTTCTCGTCTGCTGGGGGAACCGTCTTGGCCAACGCCTGTGGGCCTTGTATCGGTCAATGGAAACGGACAGACGGCGTGGACAAAGGCAAAAGCAACGCAATCCTCACATCATACAACCGCAACTTTCGCGGGCGCAATGACGGAAACCCTGCAACAATGAACTTCCTTGCATCCCCAGAAATTGTCACCGCAATGTCATATGCAGGCCGCACCACCTTCAACCCCATGACCGACTCCATCCCCACCCCGAGCGGAAAACCTTTCCAGTTCCACCCACCAACCGGCTTCGACCTCCCCAGATCAGGCTTTGAGCCAGGGAACCCAGCCTTCCAGCCTACCATCGCACCCCCATCTCCCACCTCACCCGTCGTGATCTCCCCAACCTCAGACCGCCTCGCCATCCTCGAACCCTTCCAGCCCTTCCCACCAAACAACCTCACCTCTCTCCGTGTTCTCTACAAAGTTAAAGGACAATGTACGACCGATACCATCTCCGCCGCCGGCCCGTGGCTCAAATACAAAGGCCACCTCCCCAACATTTGCGCAAACACGCTGATTGGCGCCATCAACGCCGCCACGGGCGAGACAAACGTCGCTTACGATCTCGATGGCAAAACCTACTCAATCCCAGACCTCGCAGCCAAATGGAAGGCAGCGGGAACCGAATGGCTCGTTGTCGCAGAAGATAACTACGGCGAGGGCAGTGCTCGTGAACATGCTGCTCTGCAACCACGGTACCTGGGTGGCCGCATCATTGCCGCGAAGAGCTTTGCGCGCATCCACGAAACGAATTTGAAGAAGCAAGGTGTTGTGCCATTGACGTTTAAGGATAAGGCTGATTATGATCGGATAGATGCGTGCGATTCGGTTGATACGGTGGGTCTGTATGAGGTGTTAACGAGTGGGGGCCAAGGGGTGGTGAGGTTGAGAGTAACTAAGAAGGATGGTAGTGAGGTTTTTGAGATACCAATGAAGCATACGCTGAGCAAGGATCAGTGTGGTTTTATACTTGCTGGGAGTGCGTTGAATTTATTGGCGAAGAAGGCCAATAAATCAAAGTGATTGAGTGGGCGAGTTGAGCTGGGTTTTAATAAGGAAGTTCAGAGAGGATTGGAAAAGCAGGAAAAGGGATTTCAAAAATGTTTTCTGGACTAAAGTTTTCATAGAGTGGTCAGATTCCTTGCTGTCTTGGGACATAGTCTTCTTATTTCTATCATCTCTCGGATCTATCTGTCTTGGGCGATGGAATGTGTATTATTTGCCGGTTGTAATTTTTTTTTTTTTTTATTCATCCACCTCCTTCGGCTGCGTTTCCTTACAATATCCCCCAATTTTTTGATGTTGCAAAGATTTCCAATAGATCCGGATGCAAGATATCATTACCACCTATTATCCACCAATGCTTTATTATGTACTATCATACTCTGTATTTCACGTGTGCCTGCAACCAGTGGAACCCCTTCATATTCAGATACATGCTGTTCTTCTGACTCGTTGCAGTGAGGTGAGTGAGAATCTCAGTTCGGTAAGGAATCACGTGCAGATCTTTGGTCAGGTAAGACGTAATGGATTAATATTTAACTATCTGAGGTTAAGGGGTGGTTCTGTAACAAGGACGCAGTGCAAGAGAGGAAGAAAGAAAGAAACTATCTACATAACTCAAAGTGTGTTGTTGTTCCCTTGGGTTAATATGTGTTGTGGCATGGTTAATCTCTCCTCCGGATGAAAGGCGTATAAACTATACTAATCACATGCAGTGGGGCACTCTATGCCCAACTTCTAACTAATACCCAACACCAACAGGGGGTGTTGGGATGGTTTGATTCTCCGTTGGTGGGAGGTTTAAGCTAACGAATATACGCGTATATCACGTGCCCAACACCAACGGGAGTCGGGAGAAGCAAGATCACATGTTATTATTCCACGTGATGTCATGACAGCCCGTCAACAAACGTCGCCCAAAACTGTAGGTCCAGAGGTATGTTTATCGTCATCTTGATCATACAATAACTATGAGAGGTATTTCTTGAGACCAAAGGAATCCTCCGGGATGACCATAAGAGTGGAATCATTAGTGACAGTAAAAGTTTCTGTCAATGACTTCTCAAGAAAGACTCAGAGACTCCTAGCGGAACAAGGTTTGATGATGGCGTGTTCGAATCAACCCGCCAAAGGATAAGGAAGAAAATGAGACGGGTGTCATTCGAGTTGTTGCTGAATTGATTGTGCCTTCTGCTGAGGGTGCGGTTGGCCACAATCGCATCCCATTCCAGCACTTGGTTGAAAGTTTGAATGAGGCTTGGGGTAGCTCAATTTCCCTTGTTGAGGTGCAACAATTACACCAAACTTTGCTGTCATCACAATCTCTGTCTGCAGCTTCTACAGTCACGACAATTTCGATTATCTATGCCACAGCCTGATTTCGCGGTCGGGTTCCCCTGACAATCCTTCACTGAAGATCAAATGAAAAGGCTTGCACCATTTATCGGTGAATTGGCGATATGTCTTTCTTTATGAGTACTGCATACATGTATTTCCCATTTATGACAGCTAAGTGAAGTGTGGAAAGGCGGCACTTGATATAGCAGATCGACAGAATGCACACAGCATGACTCTCTCAATAAGAGGTGTTGTCAAGCTCTTCAGGGTCGTCAAACGTGAGGAGGAGCTACATCGACAGATTTTGTCCTTTTTCAATTTCTCATGATCATCGATTGGTGAGGATCTACGGTCACTATCCTGTGATTGATGGAGACAAGACCACCGATCACCTTCACCCCATTCATGAGTTTACTTTCGCAGCGCTGGATGGCAAGGAGAAAAGAACATCCTATAAGTTTGTGATGAGCGTGTATGACCACTGGGCCCCTTTTCATTTCAAAAGGTTGTGCTCAGCTGTTGATGAACTACCATTCAATGCCAACGTCAAAACAAAAATGTCAAAAAGAAACTGGATTGTGGATTTTAGCTAGGGTAATCTATATATTAATCTAAACCTTTCTCTCATATTTTCCTTCTTGAGCGTAGAAAAACGAAAACGATAACCGGACTGACAACCCAGGAGTTAACTGTGTAGCGGAGGAATTATCTATTCGTAAATTGAGAGGTTTCGAGGGCTATAAGGAGAAGTAGATAGAACAAGACTTGTGAGAGTTTTGCAGGACTGAGTTGGGATAATTTTAAAACTGTATGTCGAAGGAAGCTTTGTGTAGTTTAGAAGCCCGTAGGAAAGTGTGAATACGAGTTCTCTGAAAAGATACGAACAAGTCATAAATACTCAAGCGTATATTTCAATGTGCTCTATTTATATAAAATAAACCTTCATTGTTGTCGTTGGTCATTGTGTCATGGGGGGAGAAACACATTTCAAAATAAAAAGTTAAGAAACGAAATCACTCGATGCTGTATGGGGTGTGTAAAAGTGATGAAACAAGAGAAAAAACAGAAAACAAAAAAAAGAAAGAAAGAAAGAAAGAAAAGTAAAGAAAGGCAAAGCAAAGGGGGGGTGGAAAAAGAGGAAATTGGACATATGATTTGTGAATAGAGAGGGAAAGGGAATAAAATTGAAAACCGGACGCTAGAACCACCTGGGACATCGAACGGCAAGAGCAGGGATTTAATTATGGATGGGCCAATTATTGGAAAAAGCTTCGCACGGCCATTTGGTTCTTGGGCTCAACATTTGCAAAGATCTGATCTACAGCGACTCCTGTTGCCGTTGCAAGCTGTTTCGATGAGTTTGCGACACGAGCAGCAGTGCTACCCTGCAGTGTTTCCGCTTCGAGGGCTTGCACGATATAGGTGAATGCCTTTGTGGCATTGTTGAAAACAGTGGGATTTCGTCTGTTGGCGTTGTTGAGCTTTGGTTAGACAGACTACGTGATTACATTTTGAGCATTAAAAGACGGGGAAGGAATGGATGGATTGAACATACTGGTCAATAAGCTGCGCAAGAAAAGAATAAGCATACGGCGCCGCCTCTTCATCATTGATGATGGGTAGCGTATTAAACCAATTCTCCACAACCTCCTGCGGATTCTGTACTTTGCTAGAATTATAATGCAATATCTTCGCGACGCTAGCGGATGCATTCTCAGTAGCGAAAATGTGCTCTTGCGTCCTCGCCTTCGCATGCTGCGTCGCCTGGAACAGCGTCGGGATGCTCGCGGCAACAAAATCGCTCCAGGCAAGCCCGCCCTTTTGCGCTGCAATTCCGACTCCGTAACATGCCGCTTGTCGGTTTGCGGCGTTGTCGTCCCGTATGCCATTGATAAGAGGCTGGATCATATGATCTTTGTAATTCCAAGATTGCTCACCGCAGAATTCCAGTACGTCATCCATGATGCAGATTGCCCATTGTCGCTGTGTGGGGTCTTCATTTGTAACGAAGGCATCGTAGAAGGAGAGTAGCTGTTCCCATGCTGGTAAGAAAGCGGGACCATGGTTCTTGAAAATGATGTGGAAGGCTTTGTTCATGTCGCTCAGTAGGTTCTGATCTTCTTCAACTTCGATATCGTATGATATGGCATCGTCATCCGCCTCGTCCAATTCTGCTTTTTCTTCCGCACGTCGCTTCACACGAGCTTGGTAGTCCTCCAACGACGACTTGGCAGACGCAATGAATGCTTGCATATGGGCTTGCGTGAGACTGTTCTTTCCGGCAACCTCGACTGATTCGTAGAAGCATTGGAACATCTCCGCCAATGTATCAATGGCTGGCTCTGCGCTTAGAACCTCGATGAGTTTTTCGGCAGTCTTGGACCACAGCTGCATGAACTCGGGAGACTGGTCACCGTGAGACTTTTTATATGCATTTAACAGTTGGGGAATTAAGTGTGCAGATGACACCCGGACAGGGTCGTGGAAGAAGAATGCGAGACCGGGAATAGCAATCTTTTCCATCGTCTCAATGACATATGGCTCAAAAGCAGCAGCGAGGACTTGAGCATATATCGTAATTAGCTCGATAGCGGTATTCTTATCTTCAAGCACACTGGTTCGAATTCCAATAATTTTGTCCTTCAGCGGAACAAGCTCCCAACCAACATCCTGCTCAGCTTGTCTAAGCTGCTCTTCGTCATCAAGGATCTGGACATCAGCCTTGGCACTGGCAACCTGGAGGAGCGGCGGCATGACTCCGGGGAGATATGGAACGAAATCCTGGTTGAGAACTCGACACATACGGCCCCAGCAGTGGAGAAGATACGATGATTGAGGATCATCTGCATCCGTGATGTTCTGCTGAATATTGCCAAGAAGCTGCACTAGAGTCAACGCATCTTGACCCATTTTCTCTTTTCCGACAGCCAGCGCAATCAGAGTGGCACACTCCATGGCCTTCGCTCTCAAAATCCGGAACTCCTTCGATTGCTCTTCATTCAAAACATTAAACAACAGCGGCATAAGTGTGTCATAAAACTGTCCGAAAGCAGCCTCTGCAGAATCAGCAATCGTAGCAATTGTAGAAAGCGCCTGCTCCTGCACAAACCGTTTGGAACTTCGAAGAAGCTGCAGAAGACGTTTCAGGAGCTCTTCGAGATACGGTTCCAGAATCTCCTTCTCAGCCTCTTCACAGAAATTAACCAACGCCGCAGCAGCATGGGCCTGGACGCGGGGTTCCGTCGAATCCAACACCGGAAGGATATTTCCGAGGACGATGGAGTGATACTTCACTTGCATGGTAGGTGCGAAATCCGTACTCATCTGGCCAAGGGCGTTGCAGCCGCCGAAGCGGACTCTTGGGTGGGGGTCTTGAAGAGCTGGCACGACAAGAGCAAGAACCTGATCTAACTCACCCTCCATGAGGTCTCTGCAACCTTCAGATATAGCGGAGATGGCCATAAGAGCTGCATGTCGATCGCGCCAAGAGGTTGAGGACATCATTCGGGGTACCCAGACGAAAGTTGCAGGTAAAATTACCTGGCCACCGAGCTTATTAGCGAGACGGTCCATGCATTGCTCGCCAGCAACGTGGTTTTTGTCACTTTCCTCGAGGTCAAGCTAATTAAACGTTAATCTCATCATATATAGCAGTCGCTGTTGCCGAGATATAGCATGCACTTACATCTTCAGACTGAGTCCATTCAGCTGCATCCTCATCATCCAAACCAACATCGGTCATCAAGCTTAGACACTGTGTAACCATCTCTCCAGCATACGTCGGGTCACTTTTGCACATCTTGGGAGCAAAATCGGCAAAAGTAGCCATTAACTCTAAACCATTCTGTCTCACTTGATCAGACAAATTCCTTATCGCCAATAACACTAATGCTGAACTTGACCAAGTTGTTGAAAAGCGCCTTGAACATCTTAGGGCACACTTCTGCCAGCTCAATTAAAGCAATGAAAGCCTTGGAGAGTTCCTCACTCTCATCAGCTTCTTTCAAGGGTGGTAGGATGTTGAGGACATCCGGGACTAAGGAGAAGTATTTGCTCTGGCTCTTTTTAGGGATGGAGCGGAAAAAGGAAGAAAACGCTTCCATTGCGGATATTCGGACCTAATTTTTTTTGACAACAATCATTAGTGAATACATCCATGTTTTTTTTTCTTTTTCAGATGTAATATAAACTGTACAGAAATATTCTCATCTCTGAACCCCTTCGAAAAAACACCTAGAACCATATCCTCATGTTGTTTCTCAATAATACCCGGTGTCGTCGAGAATATCCGGAATGCGGAATCGCGCACACCCGGATCATTAGACTGGCTGGCCTGGAAGAGTACTCCCAGAAGCTCAGGCCATTGTTCACCTAGCATTCCCAAAGAAGAGAAAATAATTAGTCTGAGTAACAATTAAGCATGTATCTGTCCAGCTATACACGGTTTTCAACATGGCATTGTTTCTCTTCTTTTCTTAATTCTTCGTTTCCACGTACCATTTTCGGCATACTGTCCTGCAATTTCAGCTACAGCGTCACCAATCTTATTCCGCACATGGGCTACGCCCTCATTGCTGAGCGACTCCAACAGCTTTTGTCGAATAGCCATTCTCTGTTCATGTGAAAGAGTGAAGAACAACTCCTTAGATTCCGTGGAATTTGCCAATTTCATAGACCGCGTCGATATCCGACGGAAGAGAACGGAGGCAAACGATCGTGTCTACAATAAGTAAAATAAATTAGTATCTATAAGTTGTGAGAAGAAAAATATTCACCCCCCCAGAGTATAAAGAAGGAAGAAAAAAAGAAGAGAAATCATCAAGAAAACCCAAAAAGAAATCAATAAGGTCAAAAGGGAGTGAGGGTGTTTTGTAAACGTACACCAGCATCTTCCGCTCCCTGTAATTGTTCCGCCAGCCCTATGAGCAAGACATCTGGACGACCCTGGACCCATTCATTATTCAACTGTTCCTCAGCCTGAGTTCGAACGATATTGTCTGCGGAAGCGAGAGCAAGCAAGAGCTGCGCGAGGGCAACATGGACCTCCTGTGGCAATAGCGACATTATCTGTTTATTCTTGTATGTTTGTATTTTCGTGTCGCGGCGTGGGAGGGTGGGGAGGTTGTATCGGTGGAATCTACCCCCTTTTCAAAGACCAAAAATAAAATAAAATAAAATAAAAAATAGAGTCGCGCCGAAGGAGAAGAGAGAAGGGAAGTGGAGGATCACAGAGAAGGAAAAGCTCAAAGAAAAAAAGAAACAAAAATAAAAAAGAGATCAAATAGAGATTCCTTGATCCTCGACGTTATACAGAGTAAAGTGGGAAACGCAGACACGAATTTCTTTGTGGGGCACAAACAGCAGAACGGCTGGGATTGGGCGAGGGCGGGTCAAGACAGTTGAGAGAGCAGAGCATAGATCAAGAACAATGTCTGGCAGTAGGTTTTCGGAGAGAGGAGAAGTGCTGAACGATGTAAGAATCAGGTATAGACAGAAGAGAAGAGAGAGTGAGAGAAGAGACGCGAAGGGGAGGGGGTAGGAGAGGAGTGAGGATATGTTAAAGGTCGAGGTTGTTGGCGTCGAAGTGGTCGAAGTCCGAAGTTTACAGTTTTGAAAGTGGCATGCAAGAAGGGCTAGCACAGATCTGGTTTAGGGTGACAGGTGCCCTGCGCTAGTCCAGAATCGGCGAGCATTGACATGGGTCGCCTTAAAAGGGCAAAAATAAAAAACATTGGACTTATTTTCCGTTAAGTACGTGCCGGGGGGGGGGATTATCTTGTTCGTTGAGGTCTATCTATTGCTGAAACTAATGGTAGCGTTTGTAGTCAAAAAGAAAACAGTCTACTATAATTGCTGTATATGTATTAAAAACGTGCTGAAAAACCACTCGGGGACTCCGAATTGCTGGAACGGCCGTGATATCTCACATGTTAGAGGTACGGAACAATCCATGCAGGTAAGGGAAGAGCTGGTTACGATATTCGAAAAAGTGGCCAGAGACAATAGTAAGGGTACTATCGTGTGAAGAAATAAATACAAAAGAAAAGGAAAAGAAGGGGGTAGGGTTGGTTGTTTTGGGGGGGGAGGGTAAAGGGCAGAATACAAAACAGTTGGATATGATCAAGAAATAAATCGAAGAGGGGATTACTATCGAGAAGTCCCGAGAAGCCCCAGGTGTAAGAATGCCCCTCAAGACAGGCAAACAAAGCCACAACTAGCGATTGCCTATTCGGCTGAGAACAAACACACCAACTATAGCCACAGCCAACGTCACAATGGCACCAGGCAGAATAAGCTCATTGGGTACCCCATTTATCAACTGCTCTGCTGTCGGTAACCGCACAATAGTCTGCGACCTGTCTGTAACAGAACTTCGATTGCCCACATTACTCTGCTCTTCTTCCTCTTCAATCGCCCCAGGCGGCGTGGCTTGTTTCAAGGACACGGAAGGCACCTGCTGAACAACAGGAGGAAGGGGAGGTGTGGCAATAACAGGCTGCTTTTCCGGATCATGGACATAAAGATCTACCTTGTCCATGTTGCTATTCCTAGACAGAGTGACGGCATCCCAAAGATCCTGATCTGTTGTAATGGACACTGTATCCCCTTCGTTGTCCACATAACTCAACGCATAGCCCGAATTGCTCAGTTTGCCATCTTCTACCAGAGCGTAGCCACCAACGGCTTCGACCTCAGGCCCCAGCTTCCGGGAGACCTGTGAAACGAGGTCCGACACACCTGCTGAAGGTGTAACGTGCAGCCTGTGAACTCGTCCGCTGGGGGCTTTGAATTTGAATGGGAACGGTGTGTCCTCATTGTGAGCTACACGGGGCTCCAGGGCATCCGAGGCGGCATCGTCGCCATGATGCGAAGCGGAATCGTTCGGGAGAACGCTATTTTCCCGTTCAACATGTGTCCTGGAAAGTTCGGGACTAACGACGGAGCGGATGGGGGTCGAGACCTGATGGCCGCCGTGGCTACCGGATACTATGGAATCAGTCTCATGGTCCATGGAAAGCCAGAACTTATTCCACGCCGGTCCTTCACTTTCGTTTGATGACATTGTATTGACCTAGAACAATTGGTGAAAATTTTTAGTGAAATGACCGTGGACACAATTGTTTCAGTGAAGAAATTAGAAATATACTTGTTCAAGCGTAGCATAAGTTAACTTCAGCACATCGACCATGCCAACAATCTCTCCAGCCTCGTTCATAACAGGGAGGTTGAGATAGTGTCCATCTAGTTTCGATATCGTTAGTCCTGTTTCTTCTGCACCTAGTGAACGGTGATCAGAACTAACCATGCATTTTCCGAAGAGCAGCCTGAATGCTCATATCAGTCGGAGCGAAATCCGGATGAGGAGTCATGACTCTAACAACGCTGCAGGTGTTCGGATCCAACCCAGGGGCAATAACGCGAAGAACAATATCTTTGCTCGTGAATATACCAGTAATCGAACCCTGATCCTGCACAAGCAATGCGGTGGTGTGATTCTCTTTCATCAACGCAGCAGCCTCCCTAACGGACGTGCGTACCGACACTGTTGTCGGTGGAAGCCCATTCAAAACAGTCTCCAATGTTGGGCCAGACATCTTCTGCCGCAGCGCCTCGACGTACTGGATAATTTGTTGTGGCTGATTAGAGCCCAATTCCGACTGTACGCCCTCGAGGGCATCATACAGCTTGCGAGATGAACTGTATGCCCTCTCCAGCTTCTCCATAGCATCGTAGAAGCACTTGGTAATGTCAAGAATTCCAGATATATCCTGATTTTCATCCATGACAGGTAAATGCCTGAATCCCTTTCGGACCATCAGGTCCAGAGCATCGGTAGCGCTGGTGTCGGTTCTCGCACAGAGAGGGTTCTTGGTCATGATTTCTGCAATTGTAACATCCCGAGCCCTGATACCGGCACCAACAACTCTAAAAGCCAAATCCTTCGCGGTGAATATACCCGCAATGCGTTCGTCCTCATCCGTCACGAGAACGCAATCCTCTCTCTTTGCAGCCATCAATTGCGCAGCCTCCGCGACCGTGGTGTTGGGCTTAATCTGGAGAGCATGGCTGGGTTTAAGAGCCATGACAGTACCGGGGGGTGCTTTGCGAGTATGTCGAGCTCGTGCAGGGTTATGTCTCTTTTTGTTGAGGTCTGCTTCCATTTTCTTTCTGATAGCCTAAGCCATTAATTGATAAGTTACTTTTATCGAAAGGTGAGAGTAGATATATGATCTATCGAGTACAGAGAAGACAGGAAAGAATATATATATATATTGGAAATAGATTATATACCTCATCACGCTTGCTCTGTTTCTGTCTACTTGTACTCAACGCCGAGCTGCTGCCAACATCGGAGGTAGTTGACTGGGGGACGGGGGGCGTTTCGACCTTGCGAGGGATACCAGAAGGGCTCCCATCGAAGGGAATCTGACCACGGCCCACGGTTCGATTTCGAAAGGTTCCTTGCCCGGCAGCAGACATGTTTGATACTGGTGGAAGATTAGACAGAAGTACCTTGGAACCTAGATGTTGAAGAAGCAAAACAAGGCGAAAAGACGGATCTACCGCGGAACTTTGGTGCTTAGAGAGACTAGATCTGACTCGGAAGATAGGTAGCTAGATTTATTATTTCATTCATTGGGTTTTGGGGGTGGGAAACAAAAAAAGAAACAAGGGATAGGAGTCCGCGAGGAGTGTAATAATGGCAACAATAAATATTGACCCGCAATCACAACACGAACGTTCGAAGTGGAGCCACAGGACAGGCGCGGGCCAGGCACGGTCACGGGATTAAATTCAGTTATCACGTGTTATGAATGGAAAGACGCTGACATAATCCGCCTTCGCTTAAGGGCTGTTGCCCTGTCGCCCACAAAGAGACGGCAACCGCAGCAGGAGTCAAAGGCCAGGACAATCCGACATCAAACCACCTCAACCCAGCCGACATCAACCTGTAAGCTCCTCTCTTTACACTCTTGGCCTCGTGCTCTCTCTGACATTGAAAGAATTGCAGAATCCGTCAAAATGGTCAAGAAACGGGCCTCGAAGTATGTTCGTTGGAATTACCCTTTCTATATACACCGCAATACCTGTTCCCTTTTTCTTTCTCCGCAGCATGAACAAAAACCATGAGGAATTAGGGATACTCATGTTTCCCCTTTTTCCCGAAAGAAAAGAGAAATGACGACATAGAGAGATATTTAGGAGGAATATAAAATTAGCTAACAGTTAGCACTTCTTTAATTGAACAGTGGACGTAACAAGAAGGGCCGCGGCCACGTCAAGCCAATCCGATGCTCCAACTGCTCGCGATGCACCCCCAAGGATAAGGCGATCAAGAGATTCACCATCCGAAACATGGTCGAGTCCGCCGCCATCCGTACGTTTCTTCCCCGGTTTAAGTGACTGAAGGCGTGGTGAAAGATGGAAAAGAGCCGGAAGGATTTCTTTTGCAAGAAGCTGACTGTGCTAATGTCGGATTCCTTAATTTTTGGCGGATAGGTGATATCTCCGACGCATCTGTTTTCCCCGATTACGCCGTTCCCAAGATGTACTTGAAACTTCAATACTGCGTTTCTTGCGCCATACACGGAAAGATTGTGCGGTATGGCTGATCCCATTCACATTCATCACCTCAAATATCCTCCGGAACAGAAAGCTAGACACGTCAGGGAGAAGGAAGAGAGAGAGAACGAAGTGGAGAAAAGGGGCATAAAAGAACGGTCAAAACTACGCTCGAGGACAGTTTTATGCTGATAAGGATACATTTTCTAGTGTACGCTCCCGAGAAGGTCGCCGCAACCGTGCCCCTCCCCCAAGAATCCGATACAACAGAGACGGAAAGAAGATGAACCCCACCCAGGCCGCCAAGACTGCTCAGGCATAGATATCAGTTGTTGGTTTTGTGTGTCAAAGAGAAGGCGTCATGTGAGGATAATGGTGTGGTAGTGCTGTCTCCTGGGTTTTTTCCCCCCCTTTTTAGCTTTGATCTTTTGTTATTTTTTTTTTTGTTTCCGAATGGTATCAGGCACAAAATAAAGTGACTTTTTCTTTGAATCAATGTG